GCACTGCTGCCAGGAGCCCACAGGAGGGTGGTGGCTGCCTCCTGAGGGGCAACAAGGGAGAGGTCAGCATGTGGCCAGAGCTGCTTCTCAGCAGGGTAGGGGAAGGCACAGGACAGCAGTTTTTCTCTTTGTAACTCTTCTTGACTGCTTCCGCTTCTTGCCAAATATTTCACATGGAGAAAAAAAAAAACCCACCGTCAGATCAGGAAGGCAGCATTATTATCTATACAAATAAGATGGCTGAGGAGTAAGCCTGCTTCTTCTCCTATCCAATCTTGAGATGCACTGCTATGTTCTATGAGAAACACAAGATTGTACTTTTCACTTTAGGGTCGAGTGGAAAGACTTGACTGTGAAAAATCAAAGCTTTTTAAACAACTGCAAAGTCTGAATTAATACTAAAAGAATTACATGCAGACTGGTATTTTATTATCTTCTCTCAAGTTTATTCAAGTACAAAAGTAATTAATTTTTCAAGCACAGTTGAACCTTGCCTATTTTACACTAAAAAGTGGGTGACTCACTGGAAGTTCCTAAATTTTTCAAATTCATAATCATGAAAATAATGAGTAGCAGAAATTAATGCCTCACAAAGCATACTTATTTTCATCTGATAACTTTTGTTTAATGTAATGTCGAATACTTTGGAATCGCTAATCAGTCACCAAAATAAAATTAGAGGATATTTTATAAGCAATATCTCAATAGATGTCTCTTAAAAGATGTCCAGTGTGATCTTCTACCAAAATGAGGGAGAGATTGCTGATTTTATGAACCATCTAGAAAGTGGATGGAACATGCTTGACAACTATTTTTTATCAGATTTTTTATCAGTTTCTTCTATACATGTTTTGCAATACTGGCATCAATATTTAATGTGGCAAAAACTTAAATATTTGACAAAGCTCACTGAAGATTGCTTACTCGCTATATTTATTAAATTTCCACAACAAGGATTTTTATATATTGTAATTTGCTTTTTTTTTTACAATATTAGATTTCCTCTCTACTTGGTCAAATAAAGCATTTTACAGCCAATGGACTCATCAAAACACTTTCTCAAACTTTTTTTCCATTTTTGAAGTGTGATCTTTGAAGAGCTACTACAAACATTTTCATTCTATATTTATGAAAAACACTTACTATGAAAAATAAAATATAAGAAATGTGTTCATCACAATTTTAAGGTCTTCAAGTTTAAAAAATCATAAGAAGTGCAAACTTCAGAAAAAAAGCAATACATATGTGTCATGTAATATGTTTTGGTTAATCTTATTAATATGTAGCTACATGTATGTAATTTTTCCTTACATGACAAACCTAAGAGCAATATTAAACATTTAGCATCTAAACATCTCCTTATGATACACATCACGTAATAATTATAATCATATAATAATTAAATAATTTTTCCAAATTCAAAAACGACAAAAAACCCCACTAAAACCCAAACCCCAAACCAAACAAAGCCAAATACAACAATTAAAAAAATAATAATAATAAAACACCCAAAAAACCTCTACAGTGTCAGCATGAGTTTTATAAGGGTGTAAAGCTTATTAGATGTCCCCTGAATTGCTACTGTTGCTGAATATTATCAGTGAGCTCCACTAACATGGGTTTTGCCTGCATATTGACAATAATCAATTACAGCTCTGCTATTTAAATGTCTCACTGTTTCTCACTCGCTCCTTCCCTCTGTGAGGTTATGAGCATGGATTGCAGTACCTGTACTCATGACAATAGCTGAAGTAATTATCTGTTCCAAACATCATTAGATCAGCTAAGGAAGAGTGTGGCCAAAACAGCTTTATGCCACCCATCAAATACTGCCCAGCTTAGCCTTCTCCTTTCTTGTAGAACTATAGAGCCAGTAGTCCAAGCTTTCACTGTGATCCAGAGAGGTCATTTTAATTCTCCATGGGTTAGTTTTCCATTCAGAGATGGAAATCTTAGCCTTAGTTTCCAAGAGAGCCTAATGCTTCTGGCTCCCCAGTCAGAGTAGCCTGGCAAGTATCCAGGCATAGCCCAAAGAGGGAAATAAAATAACCAGAGCTGGTCAGAAGACTGTCTTTTGTTCCAGCTTGCTTTATTTTTGAAAGAAAAGCAAAGCTGTGCTAAGCTGGGACCCAAAAGCTAACAATCAGAACATTTTTGTGGGAGGGATAAGCCTGAAAAAATTCTGCTTTGGAAGGATGTGGACATTTTTCAGCTTGTTTCCTGGGCTGCCTATCTCCTCTGGCTGCCTGCTTTGCAGGCAGGGTCCCACAGAGCTGAAAGCCTGCTCTGTAGAAAGAGATGTCTAGAGACCATGAGGGAGAAACCCTGAAATCTGCTGACTACCAGGAAGAGAGACCGATTGAGCGACTGCTGCTCTCTCCTTCAGTGGGCTGATGTGGAGACCCTCGGCAGCAGATACCCAGTTAACCAGCAATCTACTCTCCTAATGAACAAGAGGCTACTGCCACCAGGAAAGCCAACATTTGGGATGAGATTTGCAGAGACAGCCAGTCGAGAGAGCCAGGAACCTTAACTCTGGTGGCAACTTGAGTTATGTACTGTTCAGATACTGGCACCTATTCCCTGTGGTAGAAACCCCAGCCCACCTCTAGCTCACCAGAAACAAGCAGAGGCTTTAAAGATAACCAGAGATAAGGTTAACTGACAGAATAGTTGGCTTGAGGAGCTCTTTTCCAAAAAACCTGTAATTTCTCATTTGAAATTAATTTCGTAAGGAAGCTCTTGATCACCCCTCTAACATATACACTAAGGCTGAGTGATAGACTTAGCATGTGTACTTTAAAGGGAAAAATGATCTTTGATTTGTTTCAGGGAGCATCGCTGTGCCAGACCCCAGCAGGTGTTCCATGGCCAAGAACCTACCACTGAAAGTAGATGTGGGTGGTGGGATGTGAAAGGAGTCTGAAGCAGGGATCCACATTTGTCTGTGCTCTTTTGCTAGTGGAGGTGCCATGGTTTGATGAGTTAAAAAGCTGGGGTGAACAGTTTTGTTCATAAGGAACCTGATATGTTCTGGAAGAGTTATCACACAGCTGGTAGCAGGAAAGTTTCAATAAAACAGCTGTTTGATGAATAAAAAGGAGATGACTTTGTGTCTAGTCACATAGTTCCTGTTTAAATTAGATCAGCTGCACCTGGACATTTCTAGATTTAAGGTGATTTTTTTCTGATGCTATTAACTGCCCAAATGTGACCCAAGACAAAAATTAAGACTAAAACTTCCAAATCATTAGATTTGCTACCTGAAAAGAAATGGTCATTTATAAACTATCAAGCAATGGAGATACATGTAGTAGCACCTGACATCCTTCTGCTATACTTTATACTAGGCAACAAGAGCTCTAATCCCCCATATTTCTTGTTTTAAGTATTTTATATCTATTTTTATACTTTGCTTTCTTTCTTTTTCCTCTCAAAGGGCTAAGATGAGCATATTCAACAATCGTATTTTTAGCTTAGGCTTCTGATCACATTCCTGCAGGGCAAAGGAATTGTAGATCTGCTTGCAAATATTATGTTACTTCTTTTAGTTGTCTTTAAGCAATTTTGGATTAGGCTTTTAGTATCTACCCGCAGGGAATTCATGCTGAGCCATAAAAGCCTGTAACAGCAGTGACTGGTGAGGCACTAAAAATACCTTAGTCTGAAATAGCTTATTTCAGCTCTTTATCAGGCACTGAGAAAACTGTGCTGCATAACATCTTACAGGAGAAGGATGATTTCCAGAGGACAAACACAATACCTCTGGAAGTGATAGAAGGATAAAAAAGAGAGTGTGACAAGCTAAGCACTGGATGTCCCCTTCCATAAAAATGGAAAATATTCACGATACAACTCTATATAGCTAAGAGAAGCTACCCTAGAAAAAGTAGCCCCAGTTCAACACTCTTGTTCACTCTTGTTCTTGTATTTGGCCTGCACTGGCAATTGTTCTCTTACTCCTGTCTCTAATGCAGCTTCATATTTCCATTTACTCCTTCTGTGCTTGATCTCTCTGTAATTTCTCAGACATTATTTTTAATGATTTCTCACCTGTTCTCCTCTCATCTTTTGTTTCTCTCTCCTACTAATGTGCTGATACATCAGTGATTAAGCAAGCTTCACTCTTCAGCCTTGGTTCATTTGTCCTTCTCTCCCATCATAAGACCTTCCTTTCTAACTCTGATACCTGTTTCTCTTACTTCTGCTCCCATCCTGCAGACTGGACTATCTTCCTTGAATTTCATGAATTTCACTTAATGTGTTTTATTTTGGCCATCTTCTATCTATCTATCTCTGTTTCTCTAATTTAGCTGACATTTGAGCCAGCATCAGCAGTTCAATGTATTTTTACTTCTTAGACCTTCTCACAAGCAGTCCTGTTGCCTGAAACACGTCTGGGGGTTTCTGACTCTTCCTTGCCTATCACAATCCAGAGAGTTCTCTCTCTTAATAAAGAACTGTTATATGTTTATTTTGGTCCACCATTTACTAATTCTTCATGTCTGTGTATGAGTATTGATGCAACATATAGTCATAGTGTTACCATTAGAAACAAATCATGTCTCTAGGCCTTAGCCTTTCAGGAATTACGATAAGTCGTAAGTAGCTCAAGGTACAGATACAAATATAACTCAGGATCACTGTTCTCAATTTTTGACATGACATTCAGAGTGTTTCTGTGAGACTGATTTAGAGATACAGAGCGTATATCTAAATAAAAATATTTAGAGATTTTTAAAGAGAAATAAACCTATGCCTGTCTATAATTTTCAGTTCAGATCTCAAACTTGGGTTGGGAATAAGATTAAGTGTAAGTATATCTACCTTTTCTTGCAATTATTCTTTCCAGAAGTCAAGTAGTTGATATAAAATACCACCAGCCATGGAAATCAATAATTCTGATACAGAAACTTTTTACCTGTCATTACATGATGTGACATGATTGAAACCTGAATTTTTAGCTAATCAGAAACTATTTTCCTCATTTTGTCCCACAGTCTGGTGTTTCTACACTTCAGAGGCAATACATTATGCAGTGGACTTCACCAAAAATAATGCAGCTGGCAAGGTAAGCTAGCAGCAGCAAAAAGGATGTCTGATGCATTGACTATAATAATGTTTTAGAAAGACAGCTTTACACAGCCTAAACAGTAGAGCACTAAGGGGCTGTAGCTCTAGCATGTCAGGCCTTCAACTGAGAAAAGATCAGGTTCCATAACAGACACACTATTATTTATATTATTAATAATATTTATTTGTTTGAGTATTTATGGTCAGGAAAGTATCTGGGAGATTTGACAGCCCAATGTTTGCCCATTTTGTTGCATTTCCACGGGGCTCAAGGCCTGAGCTACTGCAGACATTGATTTACCTGCTCTAGGTGACCTTGATCTCCAGGGGTCCCTTCCCACCTCCACCATTCTGTGATTCTGTGATTCATTGGTCATTCCAATAGCAGTGGGGCAGCTGTCCCTAAACACTTTCCTAATTCTCATCCTGATTAACACCCAGCTGCACCCTGGAACATCCTTAAGCATCTGCCACATTTCACTAACAAAGATACACTCATGTACATGAAGAGAGGCATTAAACAACTTGTCCTTTGGATAATGCAGAAGGCCCCTGTAGAAAGTGCTTGACCCTGAAGTGAAATAAAGAATAACAAATATAAGGTGCAGGACTTTTTAAGTGCTCCAATATGCATGCACTGGAAGCTATTAAAAATCACAAGAAAGGAAATGCCAGAGCCCCGCACAAGGTCTACAAAAAGTTCGGACTGTACAAGCTAAATGTTGTGCAACACCATCAGCATGTTCAGTATATTTTGTTTGAATGAAGTATAAGTAGAGTTAATTAATTTATTAAGTGGAGTCTTCCTTCTCTGTTATGGTTATATGGAAACATCTTGTTTTCTTTTTAAATAGATAAATAAATTCCAGACCATCCCATCCCCTGTTAGCAACCATCCTGTCCTCTTGCAAGAAGCAGCCCCTGCATAAAGACACAGTACATTAAGCAGGTCTAAGTAAAGTGTCTTTAACACAATAAATGTGCTATACGGTTTAGCATTAGCATGGGGCAATAGTGGAAGCTCTGGTAACAGTAAGTTTTACATTATCAGTGAAAGAGCTGAGTAAAAAGCAGGGCCTTAGGATCCATTGTTTCTGCTTATAGGGTAACAACCCCAGTACCATTTTTTTTTAACGCTGCTTCTAACTGAAACAAGTGAGAAATGATGATCAGAACAGGGGTTAATGAACACTGTTCTGTTCTTGTCCCAGGGTGCTGGGTTGTACATCTGTCTTTGTGGGTTAAAACCAGTTTTCGCTGTATCATTGTATGTATTGTAATCTTTTCAGTAAATAGGAACTCTGACTTGTAATCTCTTTTGAGTTGGGTTCACTTCTCCCACTGGTTTACTTTTAAACCAGCACAATTTCCTTCTTAAATGCTCCTAAATTGTTAGTTTGATACCTATGAACACAGTTACAGCAGGTTTGAAAGTTAGCAGCACCCAGAGCAGCAAGAGATTTGGCAAAGTCCTGCTAAACCAAGTGACAATGATTATGTTATTATTTGATGCTATCATTAAATAATAGACATTGTCATCAGGCCACAGAGTTTCCTAAAAATGACCAATTTGTCCTCAGCAATATGCTCCATGTATCTAATGTGGAGAAATCTACAGCTATCCATGTGAGGAATCTCACCTGTAGCAGTTTTCATCAAAAAAATATGTTCCTCTGAACACCTATGTCGAGAGGGGTTCAGTCTGACCCCGATGACATACCTCTTCCAGTACATGTACTTACAACTGATGCCTAAGGGAGTCATTGGACACTTAGTTCTGTTTAACAGTCACATTAGGGCTCTTGTCATTCATCCTCAGAAAATTCCTGCAAACCTGTTTTGGCTCATTGCAAGCTTTTCTAATTGATCAGAAACTACTGACCTAAGAAGGGATTCCTAAACACCACAAGAATGGTGAGTGAACAACTTTGATACCAAAATGGGACAGTAAATGTAAAGGTCAAAGGCCTTAAATGAAAGTTGATGAACTGTTGTGTAAATGAAAAATTAGTCCTTGATCAGAAGCTGACTAAGGTCAAATCTCAAGCCACAGCATTCAAAAGAGCCCAGGAATTTCCAAGGTGTTTATTGGGCTGGAAAAACTGGGCATACATGCTCAAGGGTCAATGGGTTCCTTCTGCTCACTGAGCTCTGTTTTCAGGAATACTCTCAAAAATCACCTTGTTACACCTGCCAAGCGACACCAAGACATGGTCACTGTGGCAAATCCTTCCTGAAGGAGCAAGATTTGTCCAAAATCTGAGCAACACTTGGTCAAGAAACTAAAATATTGAAAAAATATTACTGCCAGTTAGGGTCTGAGCAAATCCTTCTCATTCAGAAACCATCTTATCACATCCTTTGTACAATTTAGGAAGCTACCTTGAGAATTACAATTTACTTTGGTAAAAATCTCCAGAAGCTACTATCAAGTCTAAGCTGGCAAGTAATCTACCTTTTGTTCTAGATCTTTTGTTCACCATCACATATTATATCCATTGCTTCATTCTTGCAAACCTTAACTGCTTGCAGTGAAGACTTTCAGTGAAAGGCCTTGTCAGGAACTGACTTAAACTTTAACTGAATTGGTCAATGTTACCACTAGTCAACAACCTACTGCTGACCTGACATTGTTGGCAAATTATGCTACACTTCTCATATTGGTTTCAGCCCATCAGTTGATGATCCTTGTGGGTCCCTTCCAACTCAGAATATTCTGTGAAATCTGTAGGCAATTAAAGATGTAGATCCTTAACTGCTGAGTAAACTAATGAGGAGATATACTGTAAGGCACAGTGCATCAATTACTGTAAACTATTCTGGAAGAAGAGAGGAGAAGCTGAGAAGACCTATGCTGGTACTCACACACCTTACCTGTACAGGCTGTTTCAGCAAAAGGATGGATATACTGCAGGAACCTGGTGTTAAAAACCAAAGTGCTGAAAATGCAAGACTAGAATTAATAGTGTGTCAAGGAATCATTTTTGTTCTGGTTAAATAAGACATCCTGGAAAGATCATGTTCGGCTGAAGTCTCTTCAAGGATGATGTGCTCCAGATCTTGTGACTATCACAGAAAAAGAAAAGAGATTTCTTTCAACTTGAAGAATGATCTTGTACCAAAACATCTGTTTTCTTTCTCTGAGCTCTTAATAAAGAGGTAGATTTCCCAATTAAATAAGACTGAAAGCTTTGTCTATACTGGTCTCACCTTACTGCAGAAGTTTAATAAAGATTCCAGTACTGTACACAGGACATAGACACTACATATTTGGCAAAACTGAGATGACAGTCCATCTCATAATTCCTTAAGGACAAGTTCCAAAAAACCCATTTGGAAGTCTAAAACACTGTTGAAGCAGAAGATATAAAGGTTCAAGACAGTGATTCAAAAAGAAAAAATATTGCCCCCACTCCTCTGATGCCTGAAAGTCTGTCTGTACCTAAGCCTTATCCAGAAAACTTACTGGGGTGCCAAATGTTGTGTTATCACAAGTGACCAGAGATATTACTTTTTTGCTTGACCTGAACATTATGTACAACCTCATCTCCACCCTAAGATTCCATCTCCATCTTAAGATTTACAAAATACTCACGCCTGTTAGGAGACCCATCTGGAGGCCTTTTCTGCACATACTGCACACACTGAATTTAATAAAATGGCAACAGCAACTGCTGTTAATAGCAGTGGCAGCAGTGACTTATCACTGTTTATACAATATCCTAACTGTCAGGGCAATTGCCAAGTAAAGAAGAGATTGGTGTATCTGAAAAGGACAATCTGAGCTAAGCACAGGCAGGAATCTCCTTACCCAGAGCTGCCTGGTGGTGCCTGGGCAGCCTCTGGGATCTCTGGGTTCCCCCAGGAACAGACACCTTAGCTTTGGACACTGCAGAGATGGGTCACATAGCCTTCAGTTCCAGTGTGGGAGCTGCCTCCAGGATCTCCTTGTAAAGGGATTTTTCCGTTGCATCCTGCCAATGAGTTAATGGGGCTAAGACACCCTGAGGCAGGGGTGGCTCAGGAGCGAATGTCAATGGTGAAAGCTCCCAGGCGACAGCATCATTTTGCCTATAAAAATGAGAAAAAATCAGCCACTGGAATAATCTCCCAGGGATATCTACAGTGGTGGACTCCTCAAAATTGGACACTTTTAAGATTCAGCTGACAGGGCCACCTTCTTTAGGCGGTACTTTCAACAAGAAAGGTTGGACCAGATGATCCCTGAGGTCCCTTCCAACCTACTGTTCTATGATTCTATGATTCTATGATTCTATGATAACCTCTTATTTTTTGCCTCTTGTGAAGTTGTTGTCTTGTTCCTACAAGAAGTCGTGGTTTCACAGCCTCACAGACACGGTGTGCTGAGAACGGCCGTGCTGGTGCTGTGGTGCCTCAAAGGACAACTCTGCATCAGCAGGAGGGGTGAAATGGGCCTTGGGGCTTCACAAGTTAGCTGGACTGTGCTGCCAGAAACACTTGCCTGCGAAAGCCTTGATGGAATGAGTGTGTCAGAAACCATGGCATTTCCAATATTTCTCATTAAAAAATATATACTTGAAGGAAATAATACAGAAATGGTCAAATACTTAAGGCTGAGTCATGTTTCCATAAGAGTCAGTGGGAGATTTGCCACAGAGTTTTAAAAGACAAGGATTAGACTTTAACTGGTCTGTTTATTAGGAATAAGTGATATTTTCATGTACCAGTATTTTTCCAAACCGTTTTAGGAAAATTATTAATAACTGAAGAAATCTGAAAAAAACCCAAAACCTTGAAAAATGCTTAATTACCATAGCAACGCCTGTCTTACTGTTGAATATTGTAACTCCAGAGAGACACAGAGCTGCCATGATCAGACTGCTTCTTTTAAAATTTCCCGATTGCTAAAATCAAAGAGTTTTTCTGCATAATCCTCTTTAAACACAATAACAAAAACAACTTCCCTCAGCATTAGTCACAGTCTGCCAAATGGTTTTCCACACCTTTCCATACACA